TGTTTTATTACAAAATTTAAAGTCCCTTATGGGAATATAATCACAATTTTTGTAAGCAATTTCATATAATAACTAAGATAAAGCGCTCTAGTTTTTTGTAAAAATTAAAATATCTCTTTACTGAGGTCATTGTTGCAGGAATCTAATTGTGTAATTGAATTTATTTTGTGAGAGTTCTGAAGGTCATTTCAAAGAGGAATAATATAGCAAAACATCAGAATTGAAAAATTGAAAATTTGTTCATAAATTTGTGGTATAGAATGGGCCGCGTTCATATTATTCTTTTGCAAATTTGTACCAATTTTTTTTCCGTTTTAGTAAAAATAATTTTTTTTATCTTAATTTTAAATTATTTTTCTTAAAATGTGCTAAACAAATCTGAAAACAACAACAAAAAAATCCCCATATCTTCATTTTTTTAAAAAAAAAGTAGTCACAAGTAATCGGATACCTTAAAAGTTAGTTTTTTTTCTCGAAACAAATAATTGAATTATCGTATATATGTGTAAATATCTTGATGAAAATCATCTTTAAATTCTAGTATCAGATTTCTTATTATCATTTTACGATTGCTATTTAAGGAGACTAATTGTATTGAATTCACTTCGTCGCCAAGATTATTATAAAATTTTAAGGTTGGCGTGCCGAAACAGGAATAAAAAGAAGTGGTGCATTGAAAAAAAGTATCAAGGTTTCGTCTGCAGGTCATTCTCGACAAAATATGGCATCATTTGACAAGTCTTGACTCGAAAATCTCCCTGGCGTCTTTTAAAGGCGCTTGAATAATATCCTCTCTCAGTCCTCTATTAGAGGATATCCTCTCTTTCCCTCCGAGTGAAATGATCCCCATTTTCAGATCTATATCACATTTGGGAGTTGTTATACAGAAAAATTTTGTTGTGTCTTGCATGATGCAGAATGCCCATTTCGTATTCGGATGGGAGGGCATTTGTATGAGGATGTCTGACGTCAGGTTGGGTTTTTTCGGAATCCAAGTATCTTATGGAGATCTTCTTCCTTTTTTACATGAATCATAGAAATACAGATCTTGTTAGGAGGAGCCCTTTTCTTGAATCGTTAGATTTTATTTTTGACGCGTGCTTCTCATTTCTATCTTATTTAATATACAGTTCTTAAGCACGTATTAAAATGCTTATCTTTGAAAGTGGATTTTAATATTCATAGGTGTTATAAATTTAAAATGATGCGGTGGCTTATGCTTTGCCGATGGTTTTTTTATTTAATTTTTTTTATATATTGACTAATTATATTTTTTTGTCCTAAAGCAGTGCTCTCAACCATTTTCATCTCCCCCCTTTCCGTACAATAACAATGTATTGAGTTCATTAATACTATACTTTGACGCTAAAGCTACAATATAACTTTAACCTCTTAAGTGTCACCGGCGTATATATACGTCTGGCTCAACCAAAGCATTAATTGTCCCGGACGTATATATACGTCTTCCCGAAGTACGATCTTTACTGTGCACTGCTATGCATAAAATTATTACGAAGGCCTTGGAATGCAATAAAAGGACCGTGACAATGTTTGTGGAAGATTTACTTATTTCAGAAAAGGTCTTATTTATTTTTTCCTTTTCACCCCCCCCCCCCAATACATCACATATGCGCACCTACGTGGAAGCGAATCACGTAACTTTTAATCGGCAGTTGCGAGATTAATTATAAACCGTACAAATTATCAAGATAAGTTTCCATTTTTGTAAAAAAAATTATATGTAAAGCCCATGGGGCAACTGGTAATTTTTAAATTTGTTCTTAACTTAGTATTGTTAAATTAGTTATCAAATACTTTGTACAATGTACTGATACATTTATAAGTGTATTACATCAGTGCAAATGTGTATTTTATATTTTATTATGTCAGAATGTATTTTGTTTGTTTACTTTCAGTAAATTAATTTTTTTAAAAATCTTTTGTTTTCGACTTTTCAATATGCTCCCGCCCCCCTCTTAGAGTAATCACGCCACTCTGAGGAAGGGGGAGGGTGCGCCCCACAGTTTGAGAAACGCTGTCCTGAAGTATTCGCTCGCAAAAAAATCTTGACATTACTACAAAAAGAAATTTTCTTTGCGGTTTTTCTTTTTTTGTAAACCTTTTTTAAAGTTGAAGTTTCACTTTTAAACTGCAGAAGGGTTATTGGCGATGGATCTCGTGTGTCTGACTCTCGGTCAAGTGAAGAGCATGACTGATAAGTCGACAGATTTAACGTGCATCTTCCTCTCAACAGGGCGGACATGATCTTATGAAATAACGTCATACAGCAACACAACGGACCTCAATACAACAATCTATTAATGGACATCAGATTTTACAGAAAGATGCTACCGTTGGAGTATAAGAATAGCGCTTGAACAAATTTATATTTTAAAGTACAATAAAATGCTTTGGAATGTTGAAACCGACTTTTAAGAAAGAAGGCAAGGTTTATTTGCAGCCCTTTTTTTCCGTAAAACAAATTTAAATTTCGTCGCTGAACAACGGGTGTTAAAGTAACTAGTTTAACTTTAATAAAATGGATGAGAGGGTCCCTCCCTGATTATCTAGCGGTATTTGTGTAGTCAAAATGATTTATATGGAGGATCTTTTAGGAAAGTTATCTCAAGACATTAGCATGGAAGATTTAAATATAATTAGTTCTTCTTCAACATTTTGCAAAAACACTGTCACATCTAGATTCTCATAGCATACCCAAACAAATTTTAAAAAAGAAAAGTTTCCACATTTTCTCTGGTGAAATACTTTAATACATAACTATTAGTTTGTTATCGTCTTGATTTAATGCATTTTGGTCAACATCTTCTCTTTGGTGCAACAATATCCTAACAACCTGCATCCTGTGACTGTCCTGTTTTCAAAACAGGAAATGAGACTGAGTTTGAGACTAAGTAGTAGTTAGTTTTGTAATTATGTTGTGGAAAAAGATATCAGACATAATTCTGCAATTTTTGCACCCTTCGGAAAATTGCAAACCCTGTCTAAAAATAAGCTTCTTTTAAGGTGATTACAGCGTCTAAAATGATTGAAAATAATTTTTAAAAAAAATTATCAGATAAATTGATTTTATTCTTACACAAGCTCTCTCTCTCTCACACACCCACCCACACACACACGAGAGAGAGAGATTTATTTTTGAAAAATATCAAAATTATATGGCTTTATTTAGCTATTGTGAACACATATTTTTTTCCCCAACTCTATTTAGTGGCCGTGGTAATCGATAGATGATGGTCGCAAACTCTTAGCTACTTTTTGTTCTGAATCATGGTCTAATGCTCTGGTGCTACAAAAGATCAATTGTTTAGAGGGACTGTAACACGTTAAACTTGCAAAGCTCTTAAGTTGGTGTGACGTGGAAATCTGGAGTTAAGGATACCAGCTCAGACGTCATAATCTTCACTTGTTTGTAAGGTTCAAAATTATAAGGTCCGTCCGCGTACCAATATTCGTTGTGTAGCTTCAAAATGTGACGTTAATATACAACTGATTCCAATTTTGATTTAACTAAAGATTTATCGTGTGGAGGGGAGGGAAACACATTACCTAAAACGGCCTATGAAATGCAATTTTTATGAAATTATAGTATAAATTATATTCATTTCATATGGCAGCATAGATAAGTGGTCATTTCCAAACTCAAGTCAAGCGTTTGCTATTGGAAAGTCGTGATTTCGCGTATTGGCTTAACTGGTGATATGTTGTAAATCTATCAGAGCTTAAAGTTGGCATGGTGGGGAAGTTTGGAGACTATAGTGTCAGTTGAGGTATCATCCTCGTTATTTGACTATCTCAAAATCATTAGATTCATCACCGCCAGCTTTCTTTTGTTTCTAAGTGTGCAATAATAACCAATAAATCAAAAGCTCTTGAAATTTCTTACACCTTTAAAAGCATTTTAATGTGATCGAAATCAACTAGTGGTCACATCTTTCAACTGAGAGATAAAAGTCTTTGAGATTGGGAGAGAAAAAAGACCCATATTTAATGAATGGGAGTTCTGCGTTTCTTTGAAAATCTAAAATGGACACTTGTTCTTAAAAAGGCTCTGTTTAAAACTTTCTCTTGGTATGATCCATACGAGGGTCTTTATCAGAATCACTAATTTATTATTCAGGGACTCATTTTTCAAGCAGCTTTGTCAATTAACTGAACCGCATTCCCGTGGAAGCGTATCGACTCGGGGAACCCCTAAAGAAGACCTGGAACAATCCTTCCGCTTCTTCGAAAAGCTGCATTAATTATTCAGAAGTAATATTGAATCCAGAAGCTTTCTCCTTTCCTGGGAAATTCGAGAGCGATTCAGCGCTGCCCATAACCGTAACCTCCCTCCGTCGATTGCGACAGAAGTGCTGCCAAACGCAATTACCTAAGTATTCTTCAACTGCAAATTCGATCTCGTTCCTGTATGGAATGAGGGCCAGCATCAGTGTTGACAGCAGCGCGCCTGCTTCAGCGTGCAAGTGGCGTGGAAGGATGAAATTGGGAAAAGTCCTCTACTAACTCGACAAACAGATAATTCCGCGGTAATTGTGTATAAGAACTCTCCTCTCTCTCTCTCCGCACAATAAACAATTACCTGCAACACTTGACTTTTCAGAACGAAAGTTAATGTTCATATAAGCTTTAATTCATCAAATGCTATAGTGAATACCCTTCTCTCTTTTCTTAAAAAAAAAACAAGTAATATAAAAAAAATTTTAAAAGTGAATTCCTACTTTGGTGAACAAGGAAATTTTTATTTTTGTTACTTTTTATTAAATAGTTATAATTATTATAAATATGCATGTACATATATGACAGAATCACAATATTATGTGGCAAAATATAAAACGATTTTCTCCTTGTAATTTTCCATTTTCCTTTCTATATATGATGTAAAATAATTTTTTGTTTGTTACTATTTATTTATTAATTAAATTTAATTATTCTAATAAAATAGTATACTAGAAAAGAAATCACATTCTCAGAATTTAGCCCATCCCAGGTGGGATTCAAACCCACCTTTGGATTAGAAGTTCAACGCGCTCTCCATCGCGCTACAGGGACTCAACCAGTGCTTTTCCTTTTTATATATGGTGTTGGGCTGTTATTTTTGCTTTTTGCTTTTTTCTCATTAATTAAAAAAATTATGATTCAATATTTGAAAAAACTGTATTAGCATCAAGTGTCATCCACTACAAGTTTAAAAGAATGCATTTGAACTTGAGTGGATGAATAGAAAGTATTTTATTATAACGATTGAAAATTTAAACAAGATATATATATATACAGTCGACTCTCGATAATTGAAACCTTCGATAATACGAATCTCTCGATAATTCGAAGTATATTCTCAGTCCCTAGAAAAACTCTTGATATTTCAAATTAAAACAATACGTTTTGTACACCCAATAATTCGAAGTAAAATCTGTGGCTGGCCAGACTACAACATGCTATATAATTCGAAGTTATCCTATAAAACTCTCGACCATTCGAACACTCACTATCATGTACAGTCCTGTAGCAAACAGGTTGGAATTTACAAGTTTTGCTTTGTATTGTCTCTGCGTGTCTCCTCTGAAACGTAGCCCCTTTGATGACCATCTGTCATCAAAGGGGCTTCTTTGTGTTTTTCGGTTCTTCAGACTAAAAGACACTTTTATTGCTTTCCTTCTTCAGGTGGACAATAGACCAACCACAATTTTTGTCAGCAGTCCATGTCCTTCGTTTATCTGGTGACCTTGCTACATATGTGTTCAGAAAGGATGGTCCACTATTGTGAAAAAGAGAAGCGTAGGATTGTGTATGCATGTATTGAATGTATTCTTTTAACATAGGACTTTCAACTTCTGTATAATATTTATACTGTATCCTATGTATTTTGAAAAAAAAAATTAAAATAATTTTATACATATGTACAATTGTTGTTTTATTACATAGTTTCAAATTTAAATGTGTTAAAAAATTTTCTTCATGTATATTGTCAGTTTTCTTCTACCCTCTTGATAGTTCGAACTCTTGATAATTCGAAGATTTTCATTGGTCCCTCCAACTTTGAATTATCGAGAGTCGATTGTATATATCTTGTTCAAATTTTCAATCGTTAACAAAATACTTTTTATTCATCCACTGAAGTTCAAATAATTTTTTAAACTTGTAGTGGATGATACTTGATGTTAATACAGTTTTTTCAAATATTAATTCATTAATTAAATTTTGTTTTTTAATTTTAAATTCATTCTGCGTTATTTCTGACGAAGATAGAATTAGCACCAACAGATGGCACCAGAAGGTTTTTCTAACGAATTTTTTCTTAGCTTCAAATATATTTTTTTAAACTTGTAGTGGATGGCACTTGATGTTAATACAGTATTTTCAAATATTAACGGATTAATTAACTTTAATATATAAAATAAAATTTTCTTTGTTTACCTAAGTAGGTATTGAATTTCAATATTTTTTTTTTATCTTACTTGCTATCCTTGAAGTGTTCGTAAAGTACACTGACAAATTATTTTACAAAATGCACATGGCATCGTATACTTTTTCATTGCATGAATTAAAATTTTTTTTAGAAATTAAAGGTATATTATCCGGTTAGTTTCAGTTTATACTTATACCCATTATATTTTTTATTATTTACATTAATCTTTATCATTATCTTTTTGTTGTTTAGTTGTCAGAATTTCGTCCCTCGCGAGGCTCGATTCCCGGGTCTTAAAATAGGGTGAAAATATACTAATTTTCTATTTTAAATTTAGAATAAACATAAAATATGCTTGAAGTTCTTTTTATTAGTTACATTTTTTCCCCTCTGTTGTCGTCAACATAGAATTATGATTAGTATATTAATAACTGTTGCAGAAATGGTGAGAAGGAATTTTTTGTTAAAGTAGGGCTTTATTGTTTATATTTAATGCTTAAAAGTACATTCATTTTGTTGCGTGACATTTTTGAATTGCTTTTTCTAAGCATTTTAAGCATTTGCTTTTGTTTATTGTGCAATACGCGTGATATTTTTTAAAGTATTCCTTAAATTTAGAGTGTAAAGAGGAATAAAGCTCATACAAAGTTTATTAAAATTTTTCTGCCTTTGAAATGATCTGAAAATTTACTAGTTTTGTGATTACGCATTGTTATGAGTGTTCTTGTAGATTCATTAATACCCTTTTATAAACTTTACTTGTATGTAACGAAACCTTTCAACTCGAAACTCAAATTTACCCAATTTAAAATGTCAAATAAATTCGAAATTTTGCTCACTTCTCCAGGACTAACAATAATTCAATAATTTTGTTCCATTGTCCTGATCAGGATCATCAGGATTAAAGATTTCCCATTTTCAGATCCCATCCCGCATCTGGTGACTAATTTCATGTCCCATTTCCAGATTTGGCGATTAAAAGATTAAGCTACAACTTAGTTTGATAAACTATAAAAGGGTGTTTTTTAGTTTTTTTAAAACTATAATTTATTTTTTAAATTTATTGTCAAGAGCGTACTTTTTTCGTTTTTGCTGATTTTTTTTTCAATGAGAGAAAGATGAATTTGTACTTAAATATTAATGTTTATTATACAGATCAAAAATATATGCTTTAAGTAGTATTTTTTTAAAAAAATGTAATCTCGTTAGTTATTGAGAGATATTCAAACTAAATTATATTTTTCTTACAATGCTCGCACGAATTCAATGCCATTTTTTTAGCCTTTAAAAATTGCTTCATAGATTTTGAGCATTTTTGGTTGCTATAGAAACCAAACGATGATTAATGCCTTTGTTTTTCCTTTTTTTAAATTTTGACTTGTCTAGCATCGTTTTAGAGCAACCATTTTTAATAGGCGAATATAATATTAATTTTATGGAAATTTTACTTTTTTCTCTCCAAACTTAGGCCAATACTTCCATCAGAAGGCTATACAGTGAATCCAAACGAATAAATAAATAATGAAGGATTCTCTAGAAATACAACAAGTTTCTCCAATTTCAGAAAATATTCGTCCATCTTATTTAGTGTGTTTTTCAGATATTTAAAAATACTTAAAATAATTTTTTTTAGAATTCTCAGAAAAACAAAACTGATTTCCAGAGAAAAACCTTCATTATTTCCTTATTTTGTATTCCTTATTCCTTATTTGGACATGCACGGAGCCGCGTTAGCCGAATGGTTATGGTCACGAACTCGTGGCTAGTATGTCGTGGGTTTAAGTCTTGGTGACACTGAAGACACACCGTGTAGAGGAGGCTAATGCACATGAAATCTGCCGGATTTAAAATCCACCGGTTGGCGTGGTGTGATGTGGAGGTTTGGAGAGGAGGTGTCAGCTCAGGTGTCATCTTCGTCGCTTTTCTGAGGCTCAAAATTACGAAGTCCATCGCCAATAGCCCTCGTGTTGCTTTATAGTGCGACTTTAATTATAATTCCCACTCACACTCCATTCAAAAATTCAAGATATGTAAGGGGTCACAGTAACCTGGAGGTTATGGTCACGAACTCCTGATGCCAATGAAGTTCGAGTCCTGATGCCACTGAAGACTCACCGTGTAGAAATACGGATGATGCAAGTTAAACCTGTCGAGTTTAAAGTCCTCCCACTCGCGTGGTGTTGAAGTTTATCAGCTTTCGTTTCGTCCTCGTCGCTTAACCGAAGCTCAAGATTACGAGGTTCGCCGCAAAAAGCCCTCGTGTTGCTGTTGTTGTTGTTTCTTATCCCAGATGGTGTAGCTCAGCTACACCATTTCCATAAAACCAAAAATCTCCAAAAAATCCAGAAATAAGATAGGATTTCCTAAAACCTCGTCATTTGAAAAACTCAAACAATTCAGAATATGACTGGGAAAGGCTTGATCAGCCTCGCGCCTAGGAAATTCTGGGAAGAATTTCCGGCCCTGTTGTTCCGGCTCAGAGACTTGATGTGGCCACTAAAAAAGCGCGACAGAGCCGTCTGCTGATACCCAGGAATATTAAGTTGGTGACACCAACGAGATCCCCCCCCCCAAAATACCAAGGGTGAGCTGGGGTATTCTCTAAAACGCATTCATTTTTAACCTTTTAATAGAGGAGAGTTCAGCAAAAGTTAGATAAGTATCACCCAGCAAAGTGTCAGCAGCGGCAGACTTGGCCAAACTATTGGCTATCTCGTTATCATTCAATCCAATATGGGCCCATTGAAAGTATATACAGTGTCTAAAAGAAAGTCAAACCACAACATCCAGAATATTTAGGCTTGTCATATCCACAACAGTTGTCCAACGAGAAAGGTGCTGTATAGAAGCACGGCTGACAATTAAAATCCAAATGTCCCTGAAGAAAAGGTCAGAAGCAGTGTCAATAAATTGCAATTCCCTATAGATTGCAATAAGTTCAGATCTAAAAACAGAACAGTAGTTAATATTCCTGATCTTGATGTCAAATGTACTATCAGGAGTCTCAATGTGCACGCCGCTTCCAGAAATACCACCGTCGCCCATGCTGCCATCAGTATAGATTTTTAATGCCGTATGAGGGATGCCATCAATTGTCTCTAGAGAAACCTGTCTAGTAAATTCTGGTATATTAGACTTTTTACACACCTGGTCATTAGCTCAGTCTGGAAATCTATGCGATCAGAGTCGAACTTAAAATGGAAAAATGGCTTTAAGGAGTGAGGTTCAACATTACCAGAAAACAAACCCATATCAACTGCAAAAGAAAAAGGGCTATGTTCTAAAGTGAAACTTCTTTGCGGACGGGAGTGAATGGGAAATTTACACAGTTTGGCGTAACAGTAAAAAAGCGAACGGAAGTAGTGAACCCACGAAACGTTGCCATGGTGAGGAGATAGAGAGCGGGAGGAAAAGAGAGGGGTAGAAGTACACTACGTGACTTGCGTCATATCCGTGAAAAAGTTGGACGATTGCTAAGGGGGAATCGTGCGTCAAAAGTACACTGGTGTCCAAAAGTTAAGCATAAATCGTAAAATGCGAAAAGCCTGCAGTAAATATTCGTAAAATTATTCCAAATTTCTTGCGGATATTAATTGGGTGAAGAAGAAACATTGGGTTTATGCAAAACTTTTCAGTCGACTAC